CCCCCCCCCCCCGCCTCACAGGCCAGCTCCCTGACAGGCCCAGCGAAAGGGGGATGGCCACCCCCGGTACCGGCCACCTCCTCCCGGCGCACCCAGCCTAGCGGTCACGGCAAGGGATTGCCGGCACCCAAGGTGCCCGTTCCTATGCCGACGCCCGCAGGAGGCAGAGCTCCTGAAGGAACTGCTCCCAGCACGGGTTGCATCAGCTTTAATTTGACAGTGGGGTGTGGTGTCGCAGATGGCTCCTCCTAGCTGATAATGCTTCTCATTAGCTCAAAGCAGACCTTCAACCTGGGTGTGTAATAGCTCAGTTTGATATGAACGAGAGTGACTGCGTGCCTCGGTGAGATCCTTCTGGGTCCAGTTCTGATTAGCCCCATTCATGCTGGCCTCCCAAGAGAAAGGACTATCCAGGAAGGGGTGGGAGGACGGGCATATCTTGGAGGGAGCCTCCTTCAGTGTAGCGAGTCACACATTCATGCTCCTCCCTTCTGACTTCTACTGCCAGTGATTCAGATTTTGTTGTTTCAGAGGGTCAGTGTTGTGCTCCCTTCTTTCTCCATCATCCTAATTTCTGCTGAATCTTTTTGCCATATGACATGCAGACTTGCTAGCCTAGCACTTCTCAACCCCTTGCTTTTTTTCCTCATAAGCTGAATGATTGTAGGTCTTCTCAGATCAAGCTAATTATTGTTCTGACCCCTTCTTTATTATTGATCCCAATTTCCTCTCTACAGCTTGAGCTCTCTGATACAGTTTTGTTTTGTTCCTTCCCCTGGAATCACAGCAGAGAGATTTAGGTTAGGCATTGAAGGAAAATATCTAATGGAAAAGGAGATTAAGCAGTAGAATTGACTATGTGGAGAAAAACATGTTATCTTCTTTACTGGAGACATTAAAGAATAAGTTAGGTTGATTGTTCTTAGAGATGACTGTAGTAGCACTGACCCTGCTGTGGTGCCGAGTGATTAGCTAATCATTAAAGTTATTTCCAGGCACTCTGGGACTGTGAGGATGAGTTTGTTGTGCTATAGTCATATAATAGCAGCCTATATCTAATTTCAGCCTGCCCTTTTGTTATTTAGTGCAATGATTGCCGCACCTGCTTCAGACCTGAAGAAGGGCTCATGTGCTAGCAACTGACTCTGTTTCTTTTTCTCATTTTATCAGCTGTTCTCTTATAAAAGCTAATTCTTCTTGCCTCTCTGATAAATGAGTTCCCTCCCTTCTCCTCCCTGTACAAGAAGTAGAATGAAGCAGTTGTTGTGACATCTGCCTTTAACGCTGGCAGGCTGTCAGCCGAGGAGCCTCGTAGTGACACTGCATTTTTGGTACTCTTCTGAGTTCAGGCAGGATGGGAAGCAGAGCTGCACAGAGCAGGTACTGCTGTTCCTGCTGTCTCGTTACTGCTTCTCCTCGGAGAGCTGCAGGCAGCTTTTCAGGGCTGAATGTTTCCCCCCCTCATGTATGCGTGTGTATGGGAGGGGAAAATGAGGTACTGAGCTGGTGAAGAAGCCAGACCCCCCCAGTCCCAGCTCCGCTCTAGTATCTTGACGTGTTCCAAAAGGACGTTAAGGTATGTAGTTAAAAACTCAACGAGGAGGGTTTTTTTTCCTCTTGCCAAACAGTACGCTCAGTTTCATGTTTTCAGCAGGGAGAGTTTTGTAATATACGGTGAGAGGTTGGAGCTGTACCTCAGCACAACCTTAATATTCTTCATTGTCTAATAAGTAATTTTTAAGAGTTGTGTTCCCATCTTGCACTCCAACAAGCTCCCTCTGAAATAAATGGTCTGGGAGCCCTGATGAACGTAATGCACGTGTAAATAGACAGCATGGTTCAGCTGTGGCCTAAGCAAGTGCAAATTCCTTGACCTCCGTGGAATTGTCTCTGTTGACATAAAAGAGGATAAAATTTGGCTTTGTAGTCTAAGTGGTGGCATTTTAAACAGCTGAGCTGTCAGTAAGGGTCACTGTGTCTTTGGTTTGTTCTTGATCTTGTAAAATGTGTATCTAATAAAATAGTTTTACAACAATATGAAATGTGCACTCTCCATAAAAAGTGCTACATGGCAGATTGACTCTTTTGGTGATTTCCATTTAAATTTGAGTCCTAAATGCATCAAGATGAATGAATGAATCAATGACTAGCTACAGAGCTAGTGGAAGAGGCACGTTCAGTTGCTTCAAAGTACTCACGAGAATTTTCCATGAGATTATCTTCCTTGACCTTTACATTTGACATGTAGTTTTTCTTTCTTCTTTTATTCTTTTGCTCAGATTTAAAAAAATAAAACAAAACAAACAAAATGGGATGAAAGCCCAGCCAGGATAGTTACTGGTGGAAGGTTGTTAATTTTGAAATTCTTTTAAGTTTTAATAAATCGGAGCTTGTAGCAGAAGGGAGGATGGTTTTTGTTGGGTTTTGGGTTTTTTTGCTTATTGGAAACAAAGGTGAAAAAACAGGTCTTTAAATATTCTGAATCAGCCAGGGTTATTTCAAAACTTAAACCTTTTCCTGTCATTGTATAGGAATCTCAAACTGGTCTATAATAAATAGATTTACTCAGTGCACACATCTTCAAAGAAGTAAAATGTTTTCAAGAAAAATTGACTAGGTCAGAAAGTGCTGTCAGGTCTTTGTAGTGTGGAGGTAGCAAACAGCTGTGCTCAGTTTGTTCCCAGGCACTTGGAAGCACAACTGTGTTAAGTCCCATCCTACCGGCACATTCAGAACAGTCATCCGTCTTCTGAACTACTGACACATTTGGTTAACTTTGAACTTCAATTTGTAAATCTTAAAATGCATAACTTGCTGCGAGTCTCACCAGGACACACTGGGTAATTTTTGGCCTGGCATAAGGAAGTTTCGATCTCTGCGTTAAAATAGGAGCATCATTGTTCTCCTGAAACCACTTCCCAGCAGCAGACTGTGCTGGCAGCAAGATCAGTCATTATCTCGAATAAAATATTCAATAAGCACAATATTCTGATGTGGTTACGTTACTGCGTTTGATTCAACTTTTTTGCTACAAGGCTTGACAAAGGATGATATTATTTCCCAGGTATAGAGTTGTTTATAAGATATGATAAGGAAAAACAAAATAGTGGTTTTGTGTTATTCCTTGCTTGACTTTGAGGTGAATAGCCAGAAGAGAGTCTGTCTAAAGGAAAGTCTTTTTAAAGCTTCACAGGCCACTTTGTCACACCAGTACCTGTTGGTGCAGACCCTGGGAGTCCCTCTTGCCCAGAGTAGTCCTGCCCGGGTGCTAGCGTGGGTGTGCTCCTTGAGCCAGCCTGGCTGCAGGCATTTGTCAGGAGACGAGGGTTCGAGCAGTCCCTCTTTCATGTCTTTTATAACTGGCTAGGTCTGGTTTGCAGAGTGTTCCTGATACTCATCTCTTACAGATGCATCCTGGCAAATCTGACTCTGGCGGTGTTAAGGCAGGAGTGCCCTGGCCCTGGTGGCAGAGCACACGTGCTCTGTGCAAAGCCCGGCACCTTGGCTGAAACTGCTGATGACCGTAGCTTGGGAATAAGGTGCTGGACTGTGAACTGGAGAGGATGGGGCCTCCACGCATTCCTTTCTGCTGAGCCTGCTCTGGCTGGAAACCTCAGGCACTGGAACGGGGCAGGCAGCTGGGATGGCAGCATCAGAAACTCCTGCAGCCAGAGCTTGTCTGACAGAGCCCTGAGCAAACTCATTTGGCCTCAGCCTCCAAGTGAAAGCAATGATGCTGACCCACGCAGAGGTGGTGGGAAGGGGAAAGCAGTGGAGCTGTGTTGCTACTCATTTTAAAATGCCCTGGGGCAGCCAAAATGTCTTTTTGGCCTCTTAAACAGAGCAGCCCTGCTGCAGAGCCCTTGAGAGTGAACAGGCACTTCATAGGTCACTGGTTTCAGTGCAAACTCACGTGCTTTGCTTCCAGTATGGGATAAAATAGAACTGCTCCTCTTTCTGCAGGAGAGCTTGCTCCCATGGTTGTCTGGGACTATCGGTGAAATGGCTTATCTGAGGAGATCCTATGAAAATCCGCTCCTTAGCAAAACTTGGGTGTTCCTGCAAGCTGCTTGTTGTTTCAAGATGCTGTTCCCTTGTGCAGGGAGAGGAAGTGGAGGAGGGGAAGGAGCCAGCACAGATCCGAGTTGATGATGGGGTTCCCAGGATGCCTCCGGATGATACCGATGGGGACAGGAGCTGTGGGGCCAGATGTCCACACTGACTCCCTGCCAGGGCCTCCCTGCGTCTGGCTTTACCCACTCTGTGTTTGCTGCTTGTGCTGCTTCGAATGTCACAGAAGGCTTTTTGGATTTGCGCCTTTCTGACTGCCATACCTAATCTCTTCTTCCTTGTCCCTTTTAAACAAGCCCTGTCCTGTCAGACACTCTTCCTGCCTCCAGCCCTTCCCCTTTGCAGTCTGACTGGCACCTTTGTTCTTTCCAGACTCCAGTCTGGTTTAGTTCCCAGTGTCTCTTCTAACCAGATTTCTCTGACCTGCCTCTTTAGCGTTAGCTAGTTTATCCACCACCTGATCTTCTTTTCCCTAGTCTCCACTCCAACCTGTTTCACATGGTCCTTTCCTACTCCCTTCTCTGACTGTATCCACCCTCCCTCCATCCTCTCTAAATCTGCTGCTTCTGAGAGGCCTACAGCTCACGTATTTATATGTTCCTCCCACAGGGCTCGGGCGTGATTAAAGCAGGTTTTGCAGGCGATCAAATACCGAAATACTGCTTTCCCAACTAGTAAGTATTCTGCTGGTCTTGGTAAGTTCTTAGTATGGTGTACCAATTCCTTGATACGTAGAGGGGAAGAATGGTCCAATTTTGTAACTGGAAAAATGAGTTATTCTTTTTCTGCCTGCTGCGCAGAAGCATCAGGGAGAGGAGATCTCTGCTATTAAGTACTTTGAGATTTTCGGGGCGGGGGGGGGGACGGGACACGACGACGACAAACCATAGAAGATGACATATCACTTTGTCAGGCTCAACAACCAACCAAAGCTGTAGGTTCCTTTAGTCTCGAGACATTAGGACACCAGGAAAAAGACAAAGTTGGGACGAGAGATGAAGACCTCTGTATTTCTTTGGTGTGTGGTCTGACATTTTGGTTCCTGCCAAACTTCCTTGGAAGTTTTCTGAGAGTTTTACTGGAAGGACTACTGGATCAGGAATGCTGAATAGTTACTGGCTTTTATTTTCAATAGGATGGGTTTTTAATGAGTATATTTTTGTTCTGAGCAATGTCTTCTGTATGGTGAGGTGGGGTATGGGACTATAAATGTCTAATCTGAGAAGCCTACCTGAGGTCAGGCAATGCAATGTGGATCTGTCAGCTCAGGCCATTGCTCAGTCTAGCTGTGTTCACCCCAGGCATTGTTGGAACAAATAAGTCCTGAATCATCAGGGAAAGTGTAGCCAGACTCAGCTGGCTTATGTCCTGCCAATTCAGAAGTGTCTACGCTCTGTTCCCTTCACCTCTGATTCTGACATGAGCTCAGACAGAGCAAACCTGGGTCTGTCTGCACCTGGTAGTGCCTCAGACTCACCCATCGCTTCAGAAGGTACTGGTTAGGAGAGAGAGGAACACAAAGTAGCTAATCCTTGGGTGCATCTCAGCTCTCTCTCTCGAAGCATTTATACTCTTGCCTCTGTTCTAGTGTGGGCAGACCAAAACACGTTCGTGTTATGGCTGGTGCTTTAGAAGGGGACATTTTCATTGGTCCAAAGGCAGAGGTAAGAAAACCTGTATACTGCACTTCTCCATGTATCTCGGTATGCTGCTCTAAGGAGGGGCTGTAGCAATTGTACTTCAAAGGGCTGTGGTTCCTTGGTATCAGCATAGAGATCTGAAGAGATTGTCACTTTTAGTTGTGCCCAAGGTGGAGTGGGAAGCTTCACTGAATTCTTGTGCCAACTTGCTGACCACAGACCTTTTTCCCAAGTCCTTCTGTATCTCTCGGTTTTCTTCTAGGCTACTTCTAGGTCTGTATGGTTACATCCCCATCTTTCTGACTGGGCACTTTAGAAATGGACCCTACTTGGTTGCCTTTTATCTCCCTGGTGTGGGCAAGAAGCTTGCTTTCCACAGTCCTGCTTTTGTCAGCATGTAGTCATATGGTCTCACATTTCTCGTGAGCCCTCCGAACTACATTCCCCAATACCACCCTGTTATGTTTTAGATCATGACTGAGCTGGTAGAACAAAGATACCATTTGATAGGTGTCTGTATGTTGGCTTGAAAACTGTTAGGATGGAATGTGCTCTGCAAGTGCCAGATTTTCCTACTTGGTATAAAAAGGCCTTGTTTAATCTCGTGAATACTTCTCTGGGAGAGATGTTTGTGATTAATGTTCAGGTTTTGCCCCATATGCTAGAGATAAGTTGTCTTTTAGAGGAATCAAAAATAAGTGAGTCTGACAGATTAAATCATAGTCATAGTGCTCAGAAATGTGATTGTTTGTTTGAGTCTCTGACAAGTATGCTCTATTGTTGTTTCTGCTTGCTCAGGAGCACAGAGGTCTCCTCTCGATCCGATACCCGATGGAGCATGGCATAGTGAAGGACTGGAACGACATGGAGCGCATTTGGCAGTATGTGTATTCAAAAGACCAGCTTCAGACATTCTCAGAGGAGGTGAGGTACCTCATTGAGTAATGGCACAGGGGTCATTCAGTGCGTGTATAACACCAGGAGCCTTGGAACTCCAAGAAAGAGATGGGACTTTTCCTTTGCTCTTCTTTCTAAATGTGTCTGTTGTTAAATTGGGCTCTTTCACTTCTCGGGAAGATACTGCACAAGAAGTGCCCAAGCAGAATTCCTCCCCAGATCTAATGTTCTGGCCTGACTAAAAATCTGACTTTCAACATTTTTTATTCACGCTGTCTCTAATGATTCTGCTCTAGGCCAAGTGCTTCTAACTTTTCCTGTTCTGCCTGCGCATCAGGCATATCCACTCAGCAGTGACATGACTTGAAGTGAGGAAGGAGAAAACCACAATCCTGTGGTCTGGAAGGAGCTGACCAAAAAATTATTAAATGACTGAGAGCAATAGGTTGTATAAGTGGAGTAGGAATATTTCTGCCTGTTCGTGCTAAGACCATATGCCTTCACCCTTTCTTAGGGTCTGTGTATTTTGGCTAATCTGGCTGACTTTTGGCACTGAGAGTCATCTTGTTCACCCTTCACAGGACATCACACACAGAGTAGATCACTCACAGAGTAGATTTTCTAACATTTCGTCATAACTAGACCAGAGCCCTGCTGGTCCTCCTACTTAATAGAGGTTATTCACAAGCTAACACAGCTCAGTACCTGAAATTATTCCCTTCTACCTGTCCTCTTGCACCAGTGGTTCCTAAAGTGAATAAATATACAGAGCAGAAATTTTCAGGAACACGCATCTAGTTGCCTCCTGGTTATTGCAGCATGGCTCCTTTTCTTTGCCAGCATCCTGTGCTGCTGACGGAAGCACCCCTAAACCCACGCAAGAACAGAGAGCGTGCTGCTGAGGTGTTTTTTGAGACCTTCAATGTGCCAGCACTATTCATCTCCATGCAAGCTGTGCTTAGCCTGTAAGTGTGTTTCGTCTTTGATTTGTGCTTGTGAAATGTTGCTGTGGAATCCATTTTTTCACAAACCAAAAAAACCCCACAGAAGACCACACTGATGTCTGACTTACCCCTTTTCAAGCAAGAACTGAAATTCAATTTTAATTTCTGTAATAAAGAGTTTACAGGAATTTGCTGAACTATGATGAGAACTAGGTTTTGGGGTTTCTCTAGCCCCTGTTCACGTGAAATCTCTGCTCCCTGAGTTGAGCCTGGATGTGCTGCATGCTTGGGGTCACTTTGAATTGCTTGTTCTGACTTGATTGTTTGCCTCTTTGCTAGCTACGCTACTGGCAGGACTACAGGAGTGGTGCTGGACTCGGGGGATGGCGTTACCCATGCAGTTCCCATCTATGAAGGCTTTGCCATGCCTCACTCCATCATGCGGATTGACATTGCTGGCCGTGATGTCTCGCGCTTCCTGCGTCTCTATCTCCGGAAGGAAGGCTATGACTTCCACACAACCTCCGAGTTTGAGATTGTCAAGACCATCAAGGAGGTGACGCACTGTCTGTTTCTGTGTTTATCCAAGAAGGGATTTCTGCCCAAGGGAAGTCACGACTTGTGAAATCTAATGGGAAGTGCCAGCCTACCTAGCTCTGCACCTCATTTCTTTATCTACCTGAGTGACTAGGGCCACTAAGATGATTAACGGACTGGAGTGTCTCTCATATGAGGAAAGGCTGGGAGCTGGGACTGTTGAGCTGCGAGAAGAGAAGGTTGGGGAGGATCTCATCAGTGTATATAAATGTCTGAAGGGAGGGTGCAAAGAAAACAGAGCCAGGCTCATTTCAGTGGTGTTGAGTGACAGGACAAGACGCACAAACTGAAGCACAGGAGGTTCTGTGTGAACATCAACTTTTTTACTGTGAGGGTGACCAAGCACTGGCACAGGTTCTCCAGAGAATTGTGGAGTCTCCATCCTTTGTGATATTCAAAAGCCAGACATGGTCCTGGGCAACCTGCTCTAGGTGACCCTGCTTGAATGAGGGGGGTGGACAAGATGACCTCCAGAGGTCTCTTGCAACCTCAGCCATCCTGTATTCTGTGAGACTTATAGTCAAGGTCACATCTAGTCCCTGTTGAGGGACTGTTGACATGGAGGTGAAGACAGGCTGGTGGTTCAGAATCTGCTTTGCATTTATCTGTGCTGCAGTGTCTCAGGGTCTGATGATATCTTTCGCTAGTGTTTGTTTACCCTTCAGGGCAAGGCTCTGTAAAATCCATGGCAGGTGGAGATCACAACTGGGATATTACAAGTTGCTTTCCCCCCTGCCCATGAAAGAATTCACTCAGCATTCATGTTTACAAAAGCTTCCCCTCTTTATAGGGTTTGCAGTGTTTAGTGACCTTAGAGCTATGCAGCAGTTTGGAAAGGCATGATTAAGTTCCCTAGCAAAGCAGTTACCTTGGCTTCTGCTGTGTGCCAAGAGAGGAGGACAGAGGTGGGACAGTGAATAGTAGCTCAGAGCTGGTGACTGCTCACAGCAGCTCTGCAGCATTGCTGTGCTCACACAGACGGGTTGCGCTCTGACTTCAGCAAGGCTGAAGTGAAGGCTGTGTGTGACTCGGGGCTGCCTGCGCATCCATGCCTTCAGTACCATGGGGTCAGTCCTCAGATCGGTACTGGCTGTCATGCCTGGCAGTTGCTGCCATGTTGCAGGCCCCCATCACAAGCTACGATTGCTGCAGATAAGTTTGGGCTGAGTCAGCAGCCTGTGCCAGGGCTTGAGAGCGTTAATGAGCTATTCTTGAGCCTGTGACCTACAGGCAAAGGACTGTAATGGAAATAGTTTGCTTGTTCTGCATGGCTGTAGCTCAGCGTGGCTGTGCTGAGGGAGCAGTGCTTGTGCTTCATGTCACGGTACAGCTGCATGGCTTCTGCCTGTTGCCCAGAGCAGGAGACTGCATAGGGTTGTAGGTTTTGACCCAGTAGCTGCTCTCTCTGTTCTCCAAGTCTCCCATTGCTGAATGGGAGAAAAAAGCTGACGTGTGCAGATACTGCAGCGTCTGTGGACCAGAAGATCTAGTGATCAGAGGCTTGCTGGAGAACTTTGCTTCAGAAGCAGCCTGTTTTGTACCAAGCATCAGTTGCAGTGCAATTGCAGTGGCCTTACGGGACAAAGCAAGAGACTTGTACTCTTCATAAATGGCCAAGGCTCTCTTTGCATCTTGGGTGATGAAACTATTAGAAGACGTTGCTGACTGTTAAATGCAATGTCTTGCACCAGTGCAATCTTTTCTCTGGACTATATGCTTGGGGAAACAAAGAGCAGGGGAAAGTGAGCCAAGTCCTGCTTTGCATACTGACTACTCTCACCAGTGAGACTGTTGAAGGGAGGAAACAACCTGATGTTCGCTCTCCAGCCTACACCTTTTGCTTTACTTTAAGATTAATTCTAGCTGGGGAAAGTGTTGCAGACTTCTAGGATATATGCGCCTGGAACTTGCAGTGAGATTTCTGTTGATGCTGGTGCCATTTGTGACTTGATTTGCAAATCTGAGGGGTTGAGTGTGGCTTCTTGTGTTTGCAGCTTTCTTGCCTCGGAAGAGGTTTGGATATGCAGCCTGAATGCACCGTGGCAAGCACAAAGCTGAGGTCCTGGACATGGGAGTTTCTCAGTCCCAAAAGCTGCTTGTGATCTATTGGAGTCTGTCTGGCTCGAGATTTTTTTTTTTAATTTTTTTTAAAGGGGAAAAATATTAGGAAAGAAATTTGGGGATGTTGAAAAGTCTAGAGGATAAATTACCTTAAAAGGGGAACCCTTAAGGGTTTGCACTTCAGTGCAAACATTGTTCTTTGTTTCTTGGTTTACTGTGAGGTACACCAAACATGACTGGACAGGGTTTTGGGCAGCCTGCTCTAACTGACCCTGCCTGAGCAGGGGGGTTAGACTAGGTGATCTCAAGAGGCCCCTTCCAACCTAAATGTTTCAGTGATTCTGTTTAGATTTTTTTTTTTAATCCCCAAATGATAACAATTTGGAATAACAAAGCTTACTTTGGAATAAAAAAATATGGGGTGCTGGAGCAGTTTGAAAAGTCAAAGTATCTTGTTTCCTGTAACTTAAAATGTAGGTGGGCAATAGGAAGTGAGCAGCTGAGATCATGTTAAAAAATTTTTTGCTGCTAGCTATTAGTTATCATTTACCCTGTTGAAATGTAATAATGGACTTTGTTCACGCTCCTAATCTGTTGCAAAGTTACCTGAGCCCACCTTTTATACAAGGTTAATGTCACTAAAGGTTTCAGGTGCGTGTTTTACTTTGCCCTACGGTAGATTGGAAGCGCTCACAGGATAGTTACCTCATCTGCACTAGAGGGAGGTAACTTCTAAGCAGTAAGAGAGAGCTGGAAGCAAGAGGTGAGCAGCAGCTAGAGGGGGGGAAGTGGGTATCCTTGATGTCTTTAATCATCACATGGACCTGTAGCATGAATAGATATTTTACCTGATGTGAACCCAAAAGTTCTTTTCCCCAGCACAAAATATTGTTGAAATCGGTCTCCCCAAGGGATGCATGGATTTTGATTGTTAGCGAGAAAAGTATTTTATCAGAGGCATTTGGGTCTACCCTTCTCATCTCCCTCTCCCTGACTCTGTTTCCTCTCCAGCGTGCCTGCTACCTGTCAATAAACCCCCAGAAGGATGAGACTCTGGAGACCGAGAAGGCTCAGTACTACCTGCCGGATGGAAGCACTATTGAGGTCCGTAAGGACCACCCTCAGAGGATTCCTAATGTGAAGCACAGGGTTTCCAGAACAGCCTTCTGCCTAGTGATGGGAAACTTAATGTGGTGTTAGGTGGGAGGGGATAGTTTTAAAAGACCAGAACTCATCCCAGGCTGTTGACTGGGCACTAGAATTTTTAGGGGGAAGAAAACATTATTAGAAACCTCACAACTTCTACTGGAAATCCTGGGTGAGGATGCAGCGTGACCATGGGGACTCTGAGCTGTTTGAGTGCAGGCTCTGATCCAGCAAATCTTTGTGGATCAGGTATGGAGTGTGGGTAGTTATCAGCTCACTAAATTCAGCAGTGGTTTTGTGTGTGGCTTTTGTCCTGCCTAGAGGCGCAGAAACAATTGCTTTGAAGAGTGAGTTAGGAATACTCCTCAAAAGACTGAGCCCTCTATAGAATGGTTGAAGGAGAGGAAATAAAGGTCTTACCTCCAGCACCAGGGGTGGATCTGCTCCCTTTTCTGCCAGTGACCTACTGTATGGGGCTGAGCAAGTTTCTTCATCTCTTTCATCTGCAAAATAGAAACAGTGCCTTTTCTAGGAGCAGCAGACCAAACTGGGGTTCATTTGGGAGCTAATGATGCAGCATGAATGTCCAGAAAACTTCGTTACTCTGAAGTTTCACCTAAGAAAGGCAGGCCCAAACTGTAGACAATGAACAGAGCCACACTGCTCTCTCTTCCCCTCTGTGCTAAATTCTCCCCTTGCAGATTGGCCCGGCCCGTTTTCGAGCCCCGGAGCTCCTGTTCCGGCCAGACCTGATAGGGGAGGAATGTGAAGGACTCCATGAAGTGCTCGTTTTTGCCATTCAAAAATCAGACATGGACCTGAGGCGAACGCTGTTCTCCAACATCGTGCTGTCTGGAGGCTCCACGCTTTTCAAAGGTTCCTGTCTCTCCTCTTTCAGTGGGCTGTGACATACCTCATCTCTTGCTTCCTTCTCATGTGAAACTGGAAAGATAACCTAGATCACCCAACTTGTCCTGTGGGGTGAGGGCTGTGGGAACTCTGCTCGTGGG